ACATACAAAGCCTCCAAGAAGAATATGAATCAGTCCCAGGCCTTGGAAGAGCTCAAAAGGGATTTTGAGAAGCAAGTAAGAGAAGTAGAGGAAAAACTGAGAGTGATGCAAGAAAATCATGAAAAACAACTCAACAGCTTGCTAAAAGAGACCCAAGAAAATACTGAAGAAAATAACACCTTAAAAAATAGCCTAACCCAAATGGCAAAAGAGGTCCAAAAAGCCAATGAAGAGAAGAATGCCCTAAAAAGCAAAATTGGCCAAATGGAAAAGGAAGTCCAAAAGATTACTGAAGAAAATATTTCCTTAAAAATTAGAATAGAGCAATTGGAAGCTAGTGACCTTATGAGAAATCAAGGCAGTGTAAAACAAATCCAAAGGAATGAAAAATTAGAAAACAATGTGAAACATCTCATTGGAAAAACAACTGACCTGGAAAATAGATCCAGGAGAGAGAATTTAAAAATTATGGGACTACCTGAAAGCCAAGATCAAAAAAGATCCTCTAGGCTCATCATCTTTTAAGAAATTATCCAGGAAAACTGTCCTGATATTTTAGAACCAGAGGGCAAAATAGAAATTGAAAGAATCCACCGATCACCACCTGAAAGAGATCCACAAAGGAAAACTTGTAGGAATATTGTTGCCAAATTCCAGAGTTTCCAGGTCAAGTAGAAAATATTACAAGCAGCCAGAAAGAAACAATTCAAGTATTGTGAAAACACAATCAGGATAACACAAGATTTAACTGCTTCTGCATTAAGGGACTGCAGGGCATGGAATATAATATTCCGGAGAACAAAGGAGATAGGATTACAACCTAGAATCACCTACCCAGCAAAACTGAGCATAATCCTGCAGGGAAAAATGGTCATTCAGTGAAACAGATGACTTTCAGGCATTCTTGATGAAAAGACCAGAACTGAATAGAAAATTTGATTTTCAAATACAAGACTCGAGTGGAGGTAAACAGGAAAGAGAAAATCATAAGAGACTTATTAAGGTTGAACTCTTTACTTTCCTGCATGGAAAGATGATATTACTAACTCATGACACCTTTGTCAGTATTAGGGTAGTTGGAGGGGAAAAAAATTATATGTACATATATAGATAGATAGATAGATACATAGATAGATAGATATAGATATAGATATATAGATATATAAATGTAGATATAGATAGATAGAGGGCACAGGGTGAGTTGAAAATGAAGGGGTCATATCTGGAGAATAAAATTAAGGGGTGAGAAAGGAATATACTAGGAGAAGGAGAAAGGGAGAGGTAGAATGGGGTAAATTATCCTACAAAAAAAAAAACAGAAAAGAAAAGGCTGTTACAAAGGAGGGGAAAAGGGGGAAGGTGAGAGGGAATGAGTGAATCTTATTCTCATTGGATTTGACTTAATGAGGGAATAACATACACACTCAATTGGGTATGGAAATCTGTCTTACCCTATAGGAAAATGGGGGGGGGGAATGGGAGAGTAGGGGAATGATAGAGAGGAGGGAAGATTGGGAAAGGGAGCAATCAGAAGCAAATGCTTCTGAGGAGGGACAGGTTCATAAGAAAGAATAGAATAAATGGGTGGGCAGGATAGGATTAAGGGAAATAGAGTTAGTTTTTTACAGCATGTCTACTATGGAAGTGTTTTGCATAACTGCACATATATAACCTATATTTAGTTACTTGCCTTATCAATGAGGGTGGGTGGGGAGGGAGGAAGGGAGAAAATTTGGAATCCAAAGTTTTAAAAACACATGTTTAAAAAAAATGTGTTCACATGCAACTGGGAAATAAGAAAAACAGGAAATGGGGTACAGAAATCCATCCTGCCATACAGGAAAATAGAAGGGGAAGGGGATAAGAGAAGGGGGGAGAGATAGAGGGAAAGGCAGACTAGGGGAAGGGGTAATCAGAATGCATGCCATCTTGGGGTGGGGGAGGGGTGAGCTGGGGTGAAAATTTGGAACTCAAAATCTTGTGGAAGTAAATGTTGAAAACAAAAAAAATAAATAAAAGACTTTTGGAACACTCTCAAAAAAAAAAAAAAAAGAAAAAGAAAAACAACTGACCTAGAAAATCGATCCAGGAGAGCAAATTTAAAAATTATTCGACTATCTGAAAGCCATGATCAAAAAAAGGTCCTAGACATCATCTTTCAAGAAATTATCAAGGAAAACCGCCCTGATATTTTAGAACCAAAGGGCAAAATAGAAATGAAAAGAATCCATCGATCACCTCGTGAAAGAGATCCCCAAAGGAAAACTCCTAGGAATTTTGTAGCCAAATTTCAGAGTTCCCAGGTCAAGAAGACAATAATTCAAGCAGTCAGAAAGAAATAATTCAAGTATTGTGGAAATACAACCAGGATAACACAAGATTTAGCAGTTTCTACATTAAGGGACCACAGGGCATGGGATATAATATTCCAGAGGACAAAGGAGATAGGATTACAACCAAGAATCACCTACCCAGCAAAACTGAGTATAATCCTTCAGGGGGAAAATGAACATTCAGTGAAATAGGGGGCTTTCAAGCATTCTTGATGAAAAGATCAGAGCTGAATAGAAAATTGACTTTCAAATATAAGACTCAAGTGAAACATGAAGAGGTAAACAGGAAAGAAAAATCTTAAGAGATTTATTAAGGTTGAACTGTTTACAATCCTGCATGGAAAGATGATATTTGTAACTCATGAGACCTTTGTCAGTACTAGTGTAGTTGGAGGGAAAAATTTTATGTATGTAGATAGATAGATAGATAGATAAATAGATGGCACAGGATGAGTTGAAGATGAAGGGGAGATATTTGGAGAATAAAATTAAGAGGTGAGAGGGGATTATACCGGGAGGAGAAAGGGAGAGGTAGAATGGGGTAAATTATCTCACATAAAAAAGACAAGAAAAGACTTTTACAATGGAGGGGAAATGGGGGAAGGTGAGAGGGAATGAGTGAATCTTATTCTCATCAGATTTGGCTTAAGGAGGGAATAACATACACACTCAATTGGGTATGGAAATCTATCTTACCCTACAGGAAAATAGGGAGGGAAGGGGACAAGAGAGCAGGGTGATGATAGAGGGAAGGCAGATGGGGGGAGGGGGTAATCAGAAGCAAACATTTCTAAGGAGGGACAGGGTCAAAAGAGAGAATAGAATAAATGGGGGGCGGGATAGGATGAAGGGAAATAGATTTAGTTTTTTACAACATGACTACTATGGAAGTGTTTTGCATGACTAAACATGTATAACCTGAAAAGAAAAAAAAAAGGAGGACTCTGGCAAGAATCTTGCCAGTAATGATCAAGAGAGAGATCCCCCTGTGATTGTCACAGGACAATCTATTTCCTTTACATTTATAGAGATGGACAATGGAGACATCCTTTAACTGCTGAGGGATAACCTCCTTTTGCCTTATAACCTGGAAAACTTCAGTCAGCTTTTGTATATACAATGGACCCCCTACCTTGAAAATCTGAGCTGTAATAGAATCAGCAGCAGGTGCTTTGCCACATAAAAGGAGACTAACGGCATTCAAAACCTCTGCTTCATGTGGAACTTCTGCAAGGGAGGGATTGACTTCAACCTGAGGTAAATGGTCAATGGCCTCAGCACTGATTGGTAATGGTCTATTGAGAACATTATGGACTTGTCCAGCCCATCTCTCTAGGACCATGTCCTTATCACTAATCAATGTAGCTCCATCAGCACTGAGTAGTTGAGATGCACCTTAGGTCCCTGGCCCATAAATGCCTTCAAGGAATATAAAAGACCTTTGGATTGTTACTATCAGCATATAACTGAATTTCATCTGCCTTTTACTGAGTCAAGAATCCTGCAAATCTCTAAACTCTGCTTGTACTTTACTTTTGATAAAATTAAATGCTGCCTTCTTAGAGATGGATGAACTATCCTGCTGGTAAACCCTGGGCAGTTCTCATTTCAGAAGTTCTTATTTCACTTCTCCAATTCAGAAGTATCAGACATTAAACTATATTGTAAGGGAGAGCATTGTTGAAGTGTAAAAAGGCTAAGTTTGATTACTTTAAAATTAAATTTTCTTGTATAAATAAAACCTTTGTAGCTAAGAAAACAAGGAATGCAGAAAATTGGGGGAAAAACTTTCATAGATAAGCTCTCAGGTAGGATGTGATTAGGTTGGAATTTTGCCGTGGTGTAGGAACTGATGAGATGATTGATTTAGAAAAACATAGAAAGACTTGGACCTATGAAGAAAGATGTTATCCACCATGAAATAAGCAGATGACAGTTGGAAATAAGCATAGTGTGGTCTTACATATATGTGTATGAATGTATATATGTACATGTGTGTATATGTGTGTGCGTATCCACACTTAATTGTAGCCTTCGTAAGAATGGGGGGGGAGGGAGGGAGATGATTGATTTAGAAAAACATAGAAAGACTTCGAACTATGAAGAGAGATGTTATCCACCATGAAATAAACAGATGACAGTTGGAAATAAGCATAGTATGGTCTTACATATATGTGTATGAATGTATATATGCATATGTGTGTATATGTGTGTGCATATCCACATTTAATTGTAAACTTCCTAAGAATGGGGGGGGGAGGAGGAGGGGAAAAATAAAGAAAAAAGTGCATAGCAGAGAACAAAAGAAAGGAAGGAAGCAATAAGGAAGCAAAGAAAAGCTGGGCAGGTTTAAAAACAATATGTAGTATTCAATACATAAGTTTTCTTGAAATGGAAATTTATTGTTTTATATTGAATCCTTGCTTATGGTATGTTGTGTACATGGCAATGTTTTTTTTTTCTCATTTTGTATTTAACTTTAAAATAAAATAAAAGTTACATTGAAAACATTCCTTGAAGGGTGAGGGAGCATTTTACCTGACCCAGTCTAGGGATGATCTCTCCTCCCCTGCTCCTTCCACCCAGTTACAGATTCTCTTTAATGATCATTTGGCCAAAAGGACAATCAGAAGCAATTGAAAATACCTGTGCCTGAACAGTGCTTACCTTTTTCTTTCCTGATAGCCTCAGTGAGATACTTGGCCTCCTCCAAGATGTGATCTTCTAGCCTCTTCTTTCCCAAACCCAAGTTCCTTAGGGTCATTAAGGCAAATCTTCTTTGCTGTCTCCACCCTTGGCCATTAGACATGATTAAGCCTAAATAATAACAATAACAACAACAACAACTTACATCACCATTTCATAAGATCTGTCATTTTACTGGCGTGGTTATTCACTCTAAAACCAATGGAATTCAGTGAACAAACCCTTGAAAAAAAAAGTCAAAACATCTACTATGTGCTAATCACTGTGCTGGGTATAGGAAGAGAAAAATACAGTTCCTCTTCAAATGGATACATGACCTAGACATAAAGAGAGGTTTTATAAGAAAATTAGAAGAACATGGAACATATTACTTATCAGGCTTATGGATAAGCAAACAATTTATGAATGAACAAAATATAGAAAGCAAAGTTAGGTGAAAATGGATAATTGGAAAAATATCAGTCGCTCATGGGTAGGCCTAGCTCATGTAATAAAAACAACAATTCTACCTACATTAATTTACTTATTTTGTTCCATACTAATCAAACTACCAAAATATTTTATAGAGCTAGAAAAAAAATTGTGGACTGGTCCAACAATTTTGGAGAGCTGTCTAGAATTATACCCACAGTGTTACTAAACTACTTAAAGTTTTTGAGTCAGCAATACTACTATTAGGTCTACTTCCAAAGATGATTATGGGAAAGGGAAAAGAACATATGTTCTAAAATGTTTCTAGCATGTTTATTTGTGGTGGCAAAGAAATGGAGATTGCAGGGATGTCCATCAGTTGGCTGAACAAGTTGTGGGATATGATTATGATGGAATACTACTATTATATAAAAAAATGATGAGCTCAGTGAACTTAGAAAAAACATGGAAGTGCTTTCATGAAATACTGAAGAATGAAATGAGCAGAAACCCAGACAACATTGTGTAACATAACAGTAATATTATATAAACAAAACTTTGAGTAAGTTATTTTGTCTATTATAAATACCCAAATTAACTATCAAGGACATATGAAGAAAAACACTATCTGCATCCAGAGAAAGAAATAATAAATAGAAATGTGTATTCTGTGTTTGTCCTTCATTCTCAAAGAGGACCATGACATGAGGGAGTTGATGACATGACTTGCAATTGATTTTGATTGGAGTGAGCAAGGGATATGCAAGGTCACCAGTGTTACTCTCTCCTCCAGAGTTATCTGGGTCTAGTGGCAAGAAATAGATTGGAATGAGTAGAGATGGCCCTGATGCAGTGAGAGACCTTGGCCTTTTTTAAGCTAAGTTCTTCTCAAGTTCTCACTCTGAGTGAGGTAATGCCCATTCACTGAATAGGCATCTCTAAGGAGTTAGTCAAGGGATGGCCCCTTTAATCAAAAAAAAAATCATACTGGGAGGGGAAGACCCTCACAGTTGCTCACCAAAGGAGAAACAATTTCAGAGTGAATGTTTGCATTGCCAGGAAGTTCCAAAAAATAACCATTAAGTGGTGCTTGGTAAGGGACCTATTGTTGCCCAATCTATGAGCTCCAGAGTGAATTGGATTTAAGGCTTGGTCTTTGAGGAAATTCTAGCCTCCTCAAAGTTAAATAGGCAGCTTTTGGCCATCAAAATTTACCTTCCTTTGGGCTGAACACCTTCAGATTGTGTTGTGTTTGTCCTTCATTCTTGAAGAGAATCATGACATGAGGGAGTTGATGACATAACTTGCAATTGACTTTGATTAGAGTGAGGAAGAACTGTGAAAGGTCACCAGCCTCACTTTGTTCTCCAGAGTAATATGGTTCCAGTGGCAAGATATAGATCAGGATGACTGGAGATGGCCCCCAGAAGTATGTATAAAATAATTTTAAAAATACACACACACACACACACACACACACACACACACACACACATATCTATTTGTGTCTAATGGTAGCCATCTCGAGGGAGGGAAGTGAATGGAAAAGAAAAAAAGGAAATAGATATTTACATGAAAATTTTGTTGTATATTTGAAAGGAATATTAAGTTGTACATAATAGAATTACAGTTTCATGAGCAATCATCTTTTTATTGTACTATGTTAAAGAAATGCCTGTATTATTCCATAAATTAAAAATAGAACAAATTTAAAAATTATGGAAAACCAAAACAAAACAGAAAGACTTTGACCTGGGTCTTTGATTTTACTCAATTCCTCCAGATGCAGATGGCTCTGCTGGCATCTGCACTATCATGTGGGTCAAAGGCCGAATCATAAATCCTTAGAGCTTTAGAGTTGGAAGGGATCTCAGAGATCATCCAGTCTAACTTTCACCCAGTAAACAACACCAACACAATATACTGAATAGCTTTTCTTGAAGATCTTCAATGAGGGGAATCTACCACCTCTGAATGAAAGCAATTTAATTTTTGGACAGCTCTGATTGTTAGGTTATTTTTCCCATTATCAAGCCATGTTGTAGCCCTCTGCAACTCTTAACCTTTGCTGCTGGTTCTGGGGTGAAGAACAAGTTAATGCCTTTTCTATTAACAGGCCTTTAAACACTTGAAGACAGTCATCATGCCTCTCTTTACTCCCCAACTGAGTCTTTTTGTCCTTAAGTTAAATACTCCAAGCTCCTTCAGTTGAATTTCCTATGAGATGGATTTGAACTCCTTCAATATCCTCATTGCCCTCCCTATTCTTCTTCCCTCACTCTCAGATATGAGGAAGGGGAACTTCAAAGGCCTATTTTTTCTATCATGTTTCTTCTAGCCACAAGACTTATATAATCAGTTGGAATCCTTCAGGAATGATGAATAGGAGTCAAAGATATCTTTCAAAGAATCCTGGAGATGAAAAATATTTATCATAATTCAAAGAACTCACCGAGTGATTGAAAGACATGGAGGTGGATAGGAGCTTGGGGACGATCAATAAACACCTGGGCTTGGTTGACCAGGACCTCCTTGATCAATGGCAATCCAGTTACCATTATAAAGTTGTAACTGCCAACATGTGTGCAGTAAATATTTCCATATTTCCTGGAAAGCTGAAAAAAGAATTAGTTTGAGTTGCAAACTTCTATTGTCTTTCAGGCTATTTTTTTGTCTATACTGTTACCAGATAACATTCTAGCAATGTGAAACATAAATTCCAATGGAGCCTACTCAATTCAGTCTGATCAAATTCCACTCAGTTCAGTTCAGCTCACCCCAACAAATACTGAATCATCCAACTATATCTCCAACCCTGTGCTGGGAGCTAGAGAGAGAGTCAAAAACACCACACAGTTCATTCCTTTGAAGAACTGACATTGGAAGGAAATGATGTGTGCATATATAAGTAAATGCAGAATACATACAAAAGAAATTTTAAGTGATTTCAGAGGAGACTAGCATATGGGAGGAATCTGGAAGACTTCCTGCAAGAGATGGTCCCCTGAAGCTGAGCTTTGTTGGGAAATGAGAATTCCAAAAGATTAAGAGGAAGAGAGCTCTGAAGTGGCTGCATACAAGGCAGCATGTTGGGCTAGGAATATGTGATAAAGAACAACTCAGGGGGGCAGAGCCAAGATGTCAGAGTAAAGGCAGTGACTTGCTTGAGCTCTTCCCCAAATCCCTCCAAATACATATAAAAAATGACTCTAAACAAATTCTAAAGCAGCAGAACTCACAAAAAGACAGAGTGAAACAAATTTCCAGTCAAAGACAGCCTGGATGGTTGATCAGAAAGGTATATCGCTTGGGGCAGGGAGAAGAGCACAGTTTGGCATGGGTGTGCAGTGACCCTGGAGCAGGCCTCAGAAGACTGAATCACAGGCAGCTGTGGTGGTTTCTAGACTTCTCAACCCATGAAAGCCAAAGACAACTTAGAAGATCAGTGGGAAAAGTCTGTTTCTATAGTGCTGAGTGAGAAGCACAGTGGGGTTCCAGCCTCAGGGTGGCAGCTACCTCCAGAACTTCCGGCCCACAGACTGAAGGGGAATCGAGTGACTGATCAGATGGGGCATGCAGGGATCACTCTGCTGGTGCAAGATTCCCTTGCTTTGCCTGTGCTTGGATCTGGGACACAGTTCTGGGTGGTGGTCCTGGGGTGAGGAGGAGTGTGGTGTGGTGGAGCTTGTAGTGGCTGTGGAGAGGATACCCTCCTCACAGTTCCAAGACAGAAAACAGTACTCATAGACCTGAGCACAGGCCAGGAAAGGAGTAAACACCTCACCCTTGATCATACCAACCTGGAAGAACTGAAAATTTACAGGTCCCTAGAAGTATCTCTGAAAACAGCTGCACAAAACCCCCAAAGCTTGGGACAGTGCATTCTCCACACTGGAAGCAGTCCCCTACCTTAACAGAGTCTATAACTCAAGTAATTAGGCAAGATCATGAGTAAGCAGCGAAAAAAGAGTCAGACTATATTATCTTACTTTGGTGACAAAGAAGATCAAAACATACAACCAGAAGAAGACAACGAAACCAAAGCTCCTATATCCAAAGCCTCCAAGAAAAATATGAATTGGTCCCAGGCCATGGAAAAGCTCAAAAAGGATTTTGAGAAGCAAGTAAGAGAAGTGGAGAAAAAAACTGAGAGTGATACTAAAGGAGACCCAAAAAAATACTGAAGAAAATAACACCTTAAAAAATAGCCTGACCCAAATGGCAAAAGAGGTCCAAAAAGCCAACAAGGAGAAGAATGCTCTAAAAAGCAAAATTGGCCAAATGGAAAAGGAAGTTCAAAAGCTTACTGAAGAAAATACTTCCTTAAAAATTAGAATGGAGAAATTGGAAGCTAGGGACAATTTGAGAAATCAAGGCACTGTAATACTAATCCAAAGGAATGAAAAGATAGAAGAGAATGTGAAATATCTCATTGGAAAAACAACTGACCTGGAAAATTGATCTAGGAGGGAAAACTTAAAAATTATTGGACTATCTGAAAGTCATGATCAAAAAAAAAGCTGAGACATCATCTTTCCAGAAATTATTAAGGACAACTACCCTGATATTTTAGAACCAGAGGGCAAAATAGAAATTGAAAGAATCCACCAATCACCTCCTGAAAGAGATCACCAAAGGAAAACTCCTAGGAAAGTTGTAGCCAAATTCTAGAATTCCCAAGTCAAGGAGAAGATATTGCAAGCAGCCATAAGGAAACAATTCAAGTCTTGTGGAAATACAATCAGGATAACACAAGATTTAGCAGCTTCTACATTAAGGGTCTAGGGGGCATGGAGTATGATATTCCAGAGGGCAAAGGAGGTAGGACTACAACCTAGAATCACCTACCCAGCAAAACTGAGTATAATCATTCAGGGGAAAAAATGGTCATTCAATGAAATAGGGGACTTTCAAGCATTCTTGTGGAAAAGACCAGAGCTGAATAGAAAATTTGGCCTTCAAATACAAGACTCAAGTGTAACATGGAAGGGATAAACAGGAAAGAGAAATCATAAGAGACTTATTAAGGTCAAACTGTTTACATTCCTGCCTGGAAAGATGATATTTGTAACTCATGAGACCTTTGTCAGTATTAGGGTAGTGGGAGGGAAAAAATTATATGTAGATAGATAGATAGATAGATAGATAGATAGATAGATAGATAGATAG